GTTGCAAAAAGATAAGACAAATACACTCGACTCATAATTATGATATGCTACAATACATCAGAGTACGGTCGTATTTTTCTTATCAAGTTTTACTCAAACAACTGACAGTAATATAAGAACTCAGAAATATATTTTTAAAAAATGATTTCAAACCGTGTGCTTATTATTTCCCTGCATCCACGTCCCACTTTGCTCTCTTGGCTTGGATTTTAAAAGGCTTCCTAGTCAGGAGTATACGTTTACACGCCTCTTTTTTTATACTTGCAGCAATTTAATGTATACGTTTTGTTTTAGAATTTTCAATTGTTTTCGACTTAAAATTGTTTACACTTTAAAGCTATGATAAAAAAGATAAACCTCCAACATCCTTCCTATTTGGTAGATGCAATCATTAGTAGTGTGTGGTTGATAATACAATATAATCCTTTGTTTAGGATTTTTTAAACCCCGTGTTTTGGACTTTTGTGCGTGAAGTACACGAGTATCCCTCCCATATCCTTATATGGCATACACCAAGAGTAAATGATATTACAGAATATCATTTCCCGAATGTTGACCTTTACCATCTCACAATACATTTGTAATATAACTTTGCATTATATCATTAAAAGATATTTTATGTTTACTGCCTTTGAACTTTACAATTCCCTTTTTTTCAATCATTTGAATTTTTGCGAAATGTAAATCTAATTACGCATCATTTTCGTTTTCAATGTGTCAAATAAGGATATCATTAAAACTGCGTTACCTGAAGTTAAAGGAAAGGGTGAACGGGTTGTAGGATTCGTGAGATTAGATTACGACGTGATGATTTTTAATGAGTATTACTATAAAAGTGTCACAGCTCTGGGCAGACGCTGTTTCCGCTTCTAACATCGGTAGGGTACGTAAGACATATGAACGCGAAATAGCAACGCGTAATCCAATTAGCTTACACAACATTAACGTGCCTAACAATCGATGAGTCTAGACTATTATTAGTGCTCAATTAAAAATTACAACACGTAATTAGTCAATCAGAAGGTCGGCTGGTGCATGGCTTAATGAGATATGTAAGAGTTCCTTCCCCTAGGCCTTTTCAAACTCGTAGTTTCAGTGGGTTACCTCCCTTCCACCTACTGCATTTTTCATCGCAAAAACAAAACTTATATATGTATATATATATATATATATTTCTACTTTTTGTGTGGTATTCTCTGTCAGTATCTCAATACAAAGAAGAAAATAGTGATAAATTTATACACAAAACAAATCATTACATAAACAATATATCACGTAATATTAAACCTTTAACTATTTTCCTTTTTTGCTAAGTTAAAAAATAATCTTAACACAACTTATATGGACATTCTTTCTGCCCTATAAAATTTTGTTGCCGTAGAGAAAAAAACATGAATGTACCGTTAGTAGAAAATACTGTTTATTTAACTGTCCCCATATAACCGTAATTTAGCTTTGAACTTCCCACCTTGACATCTGTTCACTCTTGTGCTAAAACAACACCAATATCCAGTGACTCTGTAACCAAGTTAGGTAAAACACCGTCAAAGCTGTTGTTATTCTAACCATGATTAGTTCCATCTTGACACGCTCCCTTTCACTAATACCTCTCCAACATGAGTAATTAAATGACAGAATAATTCTATGTCAAATCCTGATTGAAGTTTGATTGAGGGTGATCGGATATGTCACTATTGGTATCAGATGGGTTCTCGACTCTAGAGAGTAGATCAGAAGGTGCTCATATTTGTTTCAGATTTTTGGAATATAACTACTGTAAAAATTATACTTGGGTTATAACTTATGGGTCATCAATGTTCAAAGTTTATCAGAATGAAAAGAAAACGATCCGATACCGATACCGATACCATTTCCGAGGATAGCCATCGCATAAAACGGATCAGTAAGTAAAATTTTTAGTTTGCCTATATTCCTGTATCAGCAAAAGATGTTTATTTTTTTAAATTTATCACATATTTTGATTACATTTTTTCTTTATTTGTTTATATAAATATTATATATATATAATATATTTTATTTTTTTGTTTTTGTTTTCTACCCGTCGTTAATATTCTATTCTCATTACATTTTACTAGACATTACTGATTTTACAAATTCTAAACGGTTATTACCTAATTCTAGGTGTTGATTACACAGTACGTAAGCGGTATTATATATACGTATGTCCTGTAATTACACTAATTAGTACAAATCTATACAATTTTATACCAACTAGACAGTCCTAGTACGGTTATAAAACACATATGGCCAGGTTTAGCGCCTCTTGTGTTGATGATTTGGGAAGTAGAGGATTTGGGTGTGATGTGATCCCCGGGGGGACAGGTTGACATGTATACGTAGGTGAAAGAGATAAGTAACCATCTGAGAAGTATATAGGTGTGTCGTACAGGCAACATGTCGCCTCTTCCTTATTGTACTTACCAATGACTTCTTGTGCATCTTGTACAATAAGCAAGAAAACAATTTCTGGACAATTAACGTGGGAAAATCGTAAAATGGATTCGGTATCAGGTATGTCCCTAAATTTTTTCTTATCAATTTTTGTAGTAATTTTTATAAGTTCAAATGATCGACTTTTGTTTCTTATCCAGAATCTGGATGGACGTTCGATCAGTATTCTACTTTTTAATGCCAATTATAATTCTATCCAAAGAACACCTAAATTAAACTAGCTATTAGTTCCGATTCAGAATAGATGACGAGTTGTCTGCCCTTCGACCACTATGATCTTCGTCACTGACCAAAAAAAAACCAGTCACGTTCAGATTGTTGGTTTGCGTTATGTTCTGATTATTCGCGGTAGAAAGAAAATGTTTTTACAATATGAGTACATCGACAAGTACTATTGATTACATAATGCTGCTTTGTTTCAAAGGTTTACAAATACATCATCGTTTGTAAATGTATTTTTGTTCAATTTCACCTGCGGGGCAATTACGACTTTTTTTAATAACGGATCGTCTCTGTACGTTATATGTTCAAAAAGGCTGGTTTTTCATTAACATATTTTACGGGTCAAGACGTAGTTTTTGCTGATGATGGATGGTTTGAAAATTGGATTATACGTTAAAGCTCCTGATTTTCTGTGTTTTTAAGTTATAATTCAATACTTTCTGTAGTTATCTGCCCTTTGACCGTTGGCCTGCTTTGTATGAAAATATATAACTTACATAATACTATAGCTGTTTTTCGATTACTTATATCTATAGACGCTTTCTAATCAGTTGTTAATTTAGTCATTCTGTTCATCGAGTACTTTCATTAACATTTTTTGTATTTTTTCAATGAAATAATTTATTTCTAAAGGAATCTCTGCAAGATCAAGAATTTGCTGTTCACAATCACATTTGGTATGTGTGGCGCCATACCAAATAAAATCCATTTCTATAGACCTTTCCATATTGAATTTAAAATAAACAGTCGTGTTCCTGTGTGAAAACGCCCATGGGAACGATGTGACCAGTTAGGGACACGATTGTTTTGGTATTCACGGTTCGGTGCATTTTACACCTACGTATTTCAAATGGAATGCAGGTTAGCGTTACGTGAGCGATCAATGGGAGTTAAGCCTCAAATCTAGTACGCATATCGGGCTGAACTCTTCATCCCGGATGGCGTGTGATAGAGTGGCTTACTCCCACTCTGTATGTAAAAATGAAACAGGTAAACAAATACACTTGTCTGGGTCCGACAATTTGTTCAACCACATAAAGTTTTATTTATGTAATGCGGTTTTGGACAATATCCGATTGTAAACATTGTATAGGGGGTTCCTATAGGTAGATTAACCTGTAGAGCAAGTCTTGTCATATCGAAGAATTTTATCTATTTTTATTCGTTTTATATCGCGTATCATACACATCCCGCGTACCCGTGGGAATGTTCTTGCCTGGAATTACTCACCTGTACTACTGTACGTAATTGTTAGGTGTCTTGCGTATCGAGATAGCCACGCCGACTTTTGTTCTTGGTGAAAGGTCGTGATGTAAAAAGTATTAAACCCGAAGTCGTAAAGAAAACAAATCGACACAGTTTACTCCGCATAACAGGTGTCATGTCATATTATCATATGTACAGGGAATAAATAAATAATATTCCCATAGATCTTGCGGAAACTGAAAACTCGGCATCATTTTGTCAATTATCATACTAGCTGGTATAGATATATTGACCAAGGAAGTATATGTAATACTTCCTTGTATTGACCAGATGGAGCATAAAAACACCGGAGGTTATATATAAGATTTGGAAATATATTTCGGATTGTTAAGAAAATAATAAATTCCAGAGTATTTTAGGAACCAGAGTAATATTTGTTAAGTTTGGTTTCAGTTTCAAAACATTTTCTCGGAAATCAAAGTTTTATTGTAATTTCCTATTTATTATAAAGTTCAAAGTTTTTCTTTAAATATTTAATTGAAATACCTTAAAATTTAATGAATAAAAAGAAAGTTACGAACGTATAACATATCAGAGTCATTTCAGTACTTTCATACCGCTTCATAGTAGCGTGGTGCACTGAGTTGCCACGCGGTATCGTAGTGTTTGTTTGGGTACGAGTAGATGAATTTCGTGCTATGGGGTCCTGTTCTTTCTCGAACGCGGGAAGGATTTTCATTGGTCAATGAGCGAGTAACTGAGTACCGCGAAAAGCTATAGCCATGAGTAGAGCCTGGCTGGCTGCCAAGTTCAATGCGTTCAGCCCAGACGATATCCTTCAGCCTAAAAGAAGTAGTTCCATGTCTGCATTTCGTATAAATCAACATTTTCTTCTAATGCAAAATTATTTTTACATCCCATGCTTCTTTTAAATGTGTAGATGTTAATATTTGCTAAAATATCTCGATTTATTAAATAAAAAATTCTGGCTCGTAGCCAAGAGGGCGGGCACGATGGGCGGAGTAATCGCGACCCAGTTCTCGCACTGGGAGTTCAACGTTCATACTATATACACTCGTAGCTTTGAATGCAGGATCAAAACACGACAGACAGTCGATCTAACAACGTGGCTTAGTGTTCGGGATTATATATACAACCATTCTCTATGTGGATTTTACAGTAGCAACATGCTTTCACGAAAGTTAGGAATGTTTTCCTACAACCATAATACGAACATGGAAAAGGAAAAGCAAGGTAATTCATCTGATAAATTTTAGTGAAACACACCTTATGTCACTGTGTGTAAAGTAACGTGACTTATCGCATAATATCCAGATTTGTATTGTAAAGTTTTGTTTTTACAAAATTTTAAGGTGTTACATCTGTTTTTTCTTTACAGTGAAGGACAAAGATGCGTTTCAGAGGATGTACACAGTTGGTCAGCTTTTAGGAAGTGGAGGATTTGGTACAGTTTACAGTGGAACACGCAAAAGGGATAATTTTCCTGTAAGTTTAAATACATAACTTGTCCAACACTTGCCGCGAAATGTCAATGTACCGCGTGCTCTATTTGCTTTTTTGGGGAAAAGGGATTTTTGGTGAATATCCTGTGGGGTTCAAGTAAATTGGACGTTACCAAAATTATCAGGGTAATATTAGTAATTATATGTATTTGTTATTTCAGGTGGCCATCAAAGTCATTACTAGAGAGAAAGTTACAGAATGGGGACAGTTAAATGGACATACTGTACCAATGGAAATATGTTTATTAAAACGTGTGAATAATTGTGCTGGAGTTATTAAAATGTTGGACTGGTTCGAAATGAAAACAAACTTCGTCATTGTGATGGAAAGGCCAGAACATGTACAAGACTTGTTCGATTACATAACGGAAAAAGGTGCTTTGGATGAGGAAACCAGTAAAAATTTCTTCAGACAGATTGTGGACACGCTAATCAACATTCACAGAAACGGAGTTGTACATCGGGACATTAAGGATGAAAACATTCTAGTAGACTTAAAAACTGGTGAACTGAAGTTGATAGACTTTGGATCGGGTGCTTTCCTTAAAGACACAGTGTATATCGCATTCGATGGTGAGTGTTGTGGATTTCAAATCCATAAATTTATCGGACCTAGAACACGTGTTCCCGAATACACAGAAGTTGATTGTTACAAAACGTGTGTGCTGTAGGCCTATTTGCTGCTACTGTATACTAAGCTTACACAAGATTATGTAGCTGCCAAATGCCTGCCAAATAAGGGTGGGGAGTCTGGGGGAGCATCTCTTAACAGTCGTCTCGCGCTGTGACCTGAACTATGTCAGCTTAGAGGGGAGCGAGATGTTCTTATGAAATATCTCAGGGTGATAAACTGGAGTGGTAATTTTAAAGTCATTTTGGTTTTTATCTTGTCGAGACATTCCATTCCTGTTAAAATCCTGTTAGGTACAGTTTGTTTACACAAGCAGGTCAATTCTTAGGACTAAGCTGGTGTTTGGGTAAGGGGATGGGTCGTTTGGCTGGTTGCTATCAACGAAATGCTCGTAGCGTGGACTAGTAGCAAACGAGGTCACGATCATTTACTAAAGCCAATTCAGCTGTACTTGCCTGAATAGGCGAGGTATGCAAGGCATTCAACAGCGGTGTTGTATACCTTGGCGCGGTTAGCAGCGTCCCAACAGACTGAGGTCATACATAGACTAGAAATAACCCACTTCCTTCTAAGATTTTGTAAAACCATGAAATTATGGGCGATTCGTGTTAATATTTGATATCATGGGTTGGTGCGGTTGTTAGGATATAGTTCATGTTAATATAATTTAATGATACTTGTGCTGTTGGTAACCAGGTGATCTCGAGTTGCATTACCTGTTGGTAGTCACGCGTGACGATTGACCTAGGTGTATTTTATCTATGGGAAAATATACAGACATAAGTACATTTAAAGGTAGTCAAAGGAGACTAGGGCAAGCTGAAGGCATTGTAAAAATGGTAGTTTCAATTAAGTCTACACGCAGATTCAATTACAAAAAGTACGTTTTTGGTTAATAAAATGAAACAAGAATATAAATGAATTAATTATTTTTGGTCATTGCCGAGAAATTTTTCATTCATTGTATTTAAGTTTCATTATTTTTGTTTTTTCAGGTACACGAGTATACAGTCCTCCAGAATGGATAAAGTTTCACAGGTACCATGGGCGATCTGCAGCTGTTTGGTCCCTTGGAATCCTGTTGTTTGATCTGGTCTGTGGAGATATTCCTTTTGAGCAAGATGAACAGATAATGAAGGCTGAAGTTTCATTCAGAGGACGAGTGTCTCATGGTACGTTTGGTTCAAAATTCTCTGTACCCCCAAAAAATGTTTATCAAAATTCATATTGAAATTCATGGAATTGATAAAACAAAAAATGGTTTTGTAAGAAAATTTATATTTTTTTATTTGTCTTTTCAGAAGTGAAAGATTTGGTGAAAAAATGCTTAGCAATTCGTCCATCAGACAGACCAACATTGGAGGAGATTCTTGCACATCCATGGCTAGCTTCAACGGTTCAGCCAACAGTTGACAAGAGATCGCCCAACCACACAGGCAGTCAAGGAATTGTGGACGCTGTATCCATGAGTAGCCAGGAAAGCATGTGATGACAGCGTTTCAGTAGGAACTTGATTGTAATAAACGTGTTCATATTTATAAATTATTAACTATGGAAAAAAAACTGCAACACAGCAATGCAATATTAACTGTGAAACCATTCCACATCTCAGGGAGCTGCAATGATACTACAGACACATTGAATCATATGTGGATTTAAAAGACTTCATACAAATATTTGAAAGTGGATCAACCCCCCTCTCCACGTACCCACAAGCTCATTCAAGTGAAGGAAAGAGAAAGGGAATGTGAACATTTGCCAAAGACCACTCTAAAATACTAGTTGTGATGACACCATATTTGTTGACTTTCCAAGGATGGCAAATATGGAATTTATTTATTGTGATAGTGTGAAAGAAGAGACAAGAAAAACGCTCAATTTTTTTTTTTTTTTTTTAATTGCATATATATTGTGAGTCGTCTTCAGCCATGAATTCGAACACAATAATCACTGCCACTTCAATGCAAAAAGTTGAATTTTTTCTTCATTTCATTTACTTTCTATTTATTAAGCTACAATGCTAGCCATATCATAACTTAATTCATATGTAGGACTAGATTAGTTATATTTGGTGTACTTTGAAATAACGGTGCTGATAAGATTTGGTAATTGCCATTTTTTATTGTCTTTTTTTTTTATATACACATGTATTTATTTTGTGGTTTTTACGATAATTCCTGAAACAACGAAATGACTAATACAGGTCATAATTAGATCTTTTCCTGTATTTCCAACTGTATAAATTAATTCACCACTTTAGAATACTAATTCCTAGACTTCTTCCTACCTATCAACACCTCGAAACGTGGCACCCTTACAGTTCATAAGGGGCTTAAAGGTTGTACTAGCACAAAAATATAGCATTTCTACTAAAATCACTGAAACTTTCTAATTGACAAGTCGACAATATTTTTTGCTTCTTTTATCATTTTAGAAGTTTAAAAAGCAAAATTATTAGTAATGGTTTTCTTTGTAATGTGAAATTTTATTTAAAATCTTTTAAGAAAAGGTTTGAATATACATGTAGATATTTATGTATGGCTCTTTTCTTTCCCCATAAAAGCTCATTTCCTTATTACAATTCATCTATATACCATTTGTACATAAGTAATCTCATTTATTTATTAAGCATGGTGTGATGTGTGAAATCATTTGTGTATACTTGTACAAACGAATAAACAGCGCATACTAAAATGGGTGCTTTGAGTGGACGTTTCAGCATAGATGGAAAACATTGACTGAAAAGAAGAGAACATGTTCTTTGTGTGAAAATGCTTAAAAGACCTGATTGAAATAAATGTGTAAAAATGAGAGAAACTATCTTGCAGTGAGAGAAATGGGAGATAGAATGTATAAGGGTGAAGTTGAGGTGTGTTGCCAAGTCCATATTTATGTATATATGGAAGTAAATGGGAGAGTTTGAATAATGCTTTGTGTATTTATTTATTTATTCAGGAGAAAAGCACATTTCTCCTTTGAGTGTTTGTAAGGCTGTGTGTGTGGGCGAGTAAGCTTGTAAATAACTTATTTTTATATGAAACAAAAAAGAAGAAAAATCCCAGAATAAAATATATAAAATTTATTTGGTTTTTTGTGGTTATGTTTGATCAAATACAGTACTGATTCTAAATGAACTTTACCAGATAAGCCTGGAAAGTTGAAATAGAATGACGATGATGATATGGGAAGAAGACTGGACTTGATTATGACAATGACATTTACCAACAACTGTTTGGGGTTTAAATCCACATTGTTTGAACTGAAATCTAACCGCTTGATTACGTAATTTTATAGGTTATGAAATCATAGTGGAGGAATATATACTTACCTTTGGACAAGATCCAATCATTTGTCTACTGTTTGACGTTGTGGAAAATACATGTAAAGTGTAAGACGCACAAAGCAATTGATTTGGCTTTGGAATATCAACAAAAATGTGTATCTGATAGTATTTGAGCTGTTTCACAATAGAATAGAAATTCAAAACATCCGGACATGACCAGGACGTCCTTCTGGTGATCGTGAACTTCACCCTAGTTTTCACAATGTGATTGTTTCCATACTGATAAAGACCTCATTTTTCTTTACTTTCACGAAAAAATTAATTGTTAAGTTCGTCATGAAATGATCTGAAATTTGTCCACATATATTCATGTTTGCTCCATCGTACCTCATGACCGGATCGAAAATGATACAAAAAGCAACAAAGTAGAACTATTGTGATAAATGAACAGTGTTTTTATGAAATTAGCACCAGTTTACCTGCTGATCTCTCACTCAAACGTAACATTGATTTGTTATTAATGTAAAACATCTGTACCGTCTTTTCTCACACTATTCAAATCCAATTATCGCTACACGTAAATATCATTTTTATCTTGTCATCTTAACACTGCATACGTACAAAGTTAAATGCAATATTCCCTACCATGATCAATTAATAAACAGTTATAAACGTTCATGTAATCAGGAGTGAAAGCTGCCACGTGGAGATGAAGCTTGGCACTAAGGTCCTAGTCCTCCCGTCTTTTCACGTGTTGCGTGCAGCATCAACCACGCATGGATATTGGCTAAATCTATCGATTTCTTTTTGTCTACTACGTCAATTCTACTACTAGTTCTATAAGCGTGAATACTTGGAGACAGCGTAAAGCTCATAATCCATAGCATAAAAATTAAGTAATATTTAATTCTTTCTGAGTGTGTACATTTTATAAACGTGATTTTTTTTAATGGAATAGTTTATTATGTGAATACGTGCCACGTACATAGTGACAGTTTATTTACCCCATACTTCAATGTAAGTGTTATTACCAATAATTTTAGTAGTAAAACTGATCTACGCAGTATATTCAGCTTAGGTATATATATAGACTGGACAATCAGGTACAAAATAGAGTCACCTTCTCGGCCACTAGCAGTTCACGTGATCGTGTATACAGAGGGCACTAATACACATACCACGTAATTCTCTAGTGTATCGTAGGTGAAGGTCGACTGTGGGCTGAGCGGACTGAGAATATGTAACGTGCTCAACATAGTTTGAACAGGGCGACACGAAAGTTGTTATGTAATACTTTTAAATACTTGTATATCAGTAAATACCTAACCAAGACCAAAAGTCGGCCAGGAGTTCTGGGAAAATTGTCCGTTTTCTCCAGAGGCGCAAAATTAAAGATTGTCTCAAATTTACGTAACTTTAGAGGCGTTCATCCGTTTTTGTTCTCAAAATGATGTGTGTTTATCGCACTGCCTTAATTGGAATTTGTTTCCATTTCCACGTGTTGAAATGTCCATTGTATTAAGTCAGTTTATTTGACGTTGAATAAGAGGAGGCACTCGGACAATATGAATAAAATTGATTTCCCCAATAGATTATCGTTGGAAAAATGCAGATATATCTTCGATTATTGATGAAGTTTTGTCCATCTTATCACGGCAACATTTCGTTATCAGGTGGGAAGATTAACATATCTTTTCAATATAGTTTAAATATACATGTAAATGTACAACCGTAGCCTAGTGGCCCATTCAGGGACACATGAACGAAATTCACAGATGCTGAAAATGCTAAAATACATCAGTCCAATTGTTCCTAGTTAGGTTCTGGCAGATAGAAGATGGTTGAACTCCATTCTGTTGTAATCAAATATTATCTTATAATTGGAAATGCCCATTCAATAGTATAAAAGATATGATTCGTCAGATAATTATTTAAGTTTAGTCTGGGATCTGAATATTTGGATCTCTTCTCTATCATTTGAAAGCTGACTAGTACTTAAAGCGGCATTGAAAAATATGGGGCAGCCGTATTACGAACGTAAGGGCCGTGGGAAATACTCGCGCGCTAGTTAAAATCCGACTTCTGAAATGTACGCGAGAAAGCCTTTTACGCTCTCAATAATTAATTACATACTTGTATATTGTTAAATGTTATGTTCACATTTTAGCAACCTTTGGATGGGAATAGTGAAAATACACTTTTCGCATCAGTTAGGCAGTTTCAGCAATCGAACACAAGACAAGCACGGGTTTTAAAATGCGCAGGTGCTTCATCAACAGGTCCCAGTAGCCATTGTTTAAAACTGTATCCTGTCATAATATTATTTTACCCCAATTTAACAATATCAACAATGCTGGAGCGTCGTTCAAATTTCTGATTGCACGCATGCAAAATTGGAATGATACTGTAATATAAATTTTTATTCAAGAAATACCAGAAAAAAATTAATATAAAATTGCAGTTTGCAGCTCGACTTCCCATAAGGTAAACGTGGTGACGTCAGTTAAAACTCAGAAGCAAAGACATGGTCAGCGGTGTGACCTACCCGCCTACACAAAAACAAACATGCTTTTATTAAATAGATATGTTTGCTGCGACTAATGAAATTGTTACAACTGTTCGGAGTTCAACCTGGAGAGGAGTCAAAACCAACAAGATCGCACGCTTTTGACTGGAAAGGCGGTGGCCAATTAGCTGGACTAGACAAATAGATGGACCTCCCATCTCTATTTGAACTCCAGCCAAGGTCGACAAATACGCTGTGAGGTTCCTCTCTTGCTTCAAATGGAATGTACAAGGGCGTTTATTTTATTCTCTGATACTAACCGTTTGAATAAAAACTTTAAAGTACGATGACACATTGAAGACCCAACACGAGGGGATCCCAGGCAGTCATGCTTGTCAAAACTGTCTTTTTTCTACCGCCATTCAATGTTAGATAAAGTTAAACCCCTTTCGCGGGCTTTTTAATAAGGATCGTTTTTGGAGCGGTATGCAGAACAGCCCGCGTGGGAGTGCGTGATTTGTCGGCAACCCCAACGGAGGAAAAACCGGCGAGAAATATTTTTGTGAATGGGGAGAGATAAGAGATCGGAGGGTTGGTAATGTTTACTCATCTATACAAGGGCATTTACTGTGTCATTTATACAAATATCAGTGGTATTGTTTGCATTAAGCGGTGATAGTTAAGGACCGGAACGATCAGCCCGCAGTCCGGATCTCTCTGTTAGTGTAACCTAATCTCCCTTTTCAAAAGGTCGGGTGTGGAGAATGTTTGCAGAGGGATAAGGGCGGTTAAATATGGGCCACGTATGACCCTTAGCTATATGACGTCATTTTGATCACATCTTGACATACTGTCCAAGAAACTTGAATATATTTGTATATGTACTTGATCTATTCTATAAACATTGTCTAAACATCTTCAAACTCCTTTCTGCATATCATCAACACTCTGACCAAAAGATAGGATGTCCGGTATAGCAAAAGTGTAAATGAGTTTCCGAATATGAAATGCTTTCTTGGTCAAGCCAGTTAGATAACTTTTTTTAACACCTTATGAAATAAAATTAAGTTATTAAACGCAATGAAAATAAAATGTTATACCTTTTAACACGTGGATTTTAACCGATATGCACTGAGTTGAGCTATAAAGTTTTAGGTATTATTTCCAATGTATTTACCGACAACAAAAGATTCCGTTGTGATCGAACTAACACCTTCCGTTGAAACTTGATATTAGTTACAGATCTTGTAATTATAAAAGGATACCTTGGTTTTTCATTTTATGAGAAATGTGAGTTTTCTTTCAGGCTTTTCTTTTTAATATTTACCGGGACAATACCAACTGTTATTAACATCAGAAGGAATGAATGCCAAGGTTTTTGAACTATGTTTTGTAAAATCAGTCCACATTATTCGTCAATACTCTACGCTGTATATCGCTCTGATATCGGTGAAACCGTAACAAGAGACTAAAAGTGATTTTTATCATTCTTCTTTCTCGATGTCAAAACAGCTAGTAAAAAGAACAGTGGATAACTGGAATAACAGTGTTGTGCTGTGATTAAGCTAACTAGGCGTTGTCTGAAATGCCGGATTTTATAGAATGGAAGCTCATTTGATCGGGCTATAGGTAGATTCCATCCAGACGAAAGGAATACGCCCTGTTTGAAAACAAACCTTGCCCGAGATAAACTCGTGATAACAAACAAAACTAGGTCAGGAGGAAAAGTAGTGGTTTGTTCCAATTTTAAGAATCCGGGTTAATTTCCCTCTTTTTCGCCGATATACAAAATCGGTATTTATAGTTTACCTAAAATTGTAGGTATTTATTTGTAACACGAGAAACCACGCCTATAAGATGACAGACAAAGGGCTTTTCTCTTGAAATATATCTAGCCTCTTTCCCCACAGGCACTCGAGGCCAGGATATTATTTTTTAAACATTGATTTTTGTTTTAGCACTCATAACTGACGTTATTTAAACGAAATATCAGCAGAATTCACGTTTATGTGCCGGTTGACAAATCCGAGGTCCACGGTCATTAAAAATACACAAGGCAAGCAACTCCAGATTTTAAAAAATCGACCCCTCGCTTGGAAACTGGCTCAAAAATGTAGTTATGATAAGTTCCTTGTAAAACAATATGTATCCGTAGGTAGTGTGTATATTTACCTTTTATTTGGTGCATAACATTACAGGCAACGCGAAATTCACAATACGTACATGAGATTAACATCTCAATAACCGGAGATTTTATCGTCCATGTAATTATCTTTGACGGAAGTAACATGTCATTTCAAGGGCGGTCACTCCGAGTTTTTGGGAGAGGAGTTCCGGATAGCACTATACCAGTGAACAGGTAAGAAAGGTTCCGATGTCATTACGCGCGTAACTTCAAAATAGATATTTTTATTTCTACAAATACATTTGCGGGGATGGAAAAATAATGGCTGGGCAAAAAAGTCCACATTTGCCAACTCGGATACAATATCATGGTAAGGGATTATACAGAATGCATCAACTTTCAATCAAGCTGGCGGTAATGAGAATTTTTTTTCAAAAAAAAAATAGAAAAAAATCATGCAGATAATGAAAAAAGGGCGCAATTTATGAAAAATATCGTGGGGGAAATATATTAACTTAGAAATTGGAAATTAAATGATTTTTTCCATAGTGATTTTTGTCAAGTTATTGAGAATATTTGAAAAGAAATACATATTACTTATTAACCAAGAGGCCCAAAGGGCTTGTATTGCTACAGGTACTGTATGTTTTGGCAAACGTCCATACAATGGACTTCCTGACCAAATATCATGACCCAAGGCCTTTTTGGTTATCAGAAGATGTTATTTAAGGGTTTATCCATGACCTTGAATATAATGTCAAAGTAATATTTCATTATCTGCGTGATTTTTTTCTTATTTTTTTTTGAAAAAAAAAATCTCATTACCGCCAGCTTGATTGAAAGTTAATGCATTCTGTATAATCCCTTACCATGATATTGTATCCGAGTTGGCAAATGTGGACTTTTTTGCCCAGCCATTATTTTTCCATCCCCGCAAATGTATTTGTAGAAATAAAAATATCTATTTTGAAGTTACGCGCGTAATGACATCGGAACCTTTCTTACCTGTTCACTGGTATAGTGCTATCCGGAACTCCTCTCCCAAAAACTCGGAGTGACCGCCCTTGAAATGACATGTTACTTCCGTCAAAGATAATTACATGGACGATAAAATCTCCGGTTATTGAGATGTTAATCTCATGTACGTATTGTGAATTTCTCGTTGCCTGTAATGTTATGCACCAAATAAAAGGTAAATATACACACTACCTACGGATACATATTGTTTTACAAGGAACTTATCATAACTACATTTTTGAGCCAGTTTCCAAGCGAGGGGTCGATTTTTTAAAATCTGGAGTTGCTTGCCTTGTGTATTTTTAATGACCGTGGACCTCGGATTTGTCAACCGGCATATAAACGTGAATTCTGCTGATATTTCGTTTAAATAACGTCAGTCATGAGTGCTAAAACAAAAATCAATGTTTAAAAAATAATATCCTGGCCTCGAGTGCCTGTGTCTTTCCCTACTTAACGAAATCTTTCAAAGGTTTCTTGTCATATGCCGGCTGCGCAATAGTCTACAATCATGTCGCTTCTTTAAATATTGCTGACAATAACCGACTTCCGACAACCTACATGTTAAATAAACTATTAAAACTATGTATGGGATATTGACTTTAGATGTAAGAAAACAATTCTATGACTTATATTTGTGACTTATACGGTTTTTTTTAGTTTGTTTTAAAAATGTCGCAATTTTACCCAGTCCAATGATGGCTAGCTCGACGTGAAAAACGATACAGGTTTTGAACGACATTTCGTTGCTTCACTTAAACTTAACGAGAAAATAAAACGTGTCAGTCAATAATGATTTTGTCAATTACTTCTGTGTCCTTGTACAAAGTGCTTCGGCAGTTACCATGACAACCAATCGTGATGTCGAAATGATCGATGTTCTTCATATTCACGTGAACGCTTACGCCACTCTATATTTCATTCCACGTAAGAAAACATTCACTTAGCATTAACTGTTGAAGATTACGTGTTTCAATGTTTGTTTTGATAATGTAATGAAAGAAAATACGCAACCAGTTTTTCTTCTGAAAAATCTGTGTACATAATGGGTTTGGATTACCGAAATTTATCAAATCGGATATACGCCAAAATATGTGTCGTTTATCAATTGATGATGTAATTTTCACTGATGAATATCAATAACTTCATAAAATGATCACGCAAGCGAACAAAATTAACGGCGTTTCTCTGCCGTTAGTGGCGTCAAGCATACATACACTAAAACCCCAATACCTCAATCAGCATGGTTACGTACTTGCTAAACGTTGAAATAATACATGGTGATTTATTGAGTACCTGGCAGATAACTAAAGTATACCATACAAGTAACACAAATTCTCTGATCATTTGCCGTGCGGCATAGCTCCTGTTTACACGACAAACTAGCTCCATCTTGATCCAACAAGCAGTGTTTACACTCTGATAAGAGAGGAGGGCGACCACTTCAAATCTACGATTATGCTTGTCATGTTATTTTATGAAGTGAAAAAATCCCCCGTATCACATAAAAAAGAAGGTGACTGTGATGAAATACATTGAGTACGTGCAGAAAAAGAAAGCGACGATGGCTGACCTTCAAATCCGAAGAAACTCTCAAAGTGACACCTTTCGATAAACCAAATTTAACAAATGGGAGAGAAAAAATCCTTGCCTGTATAAGTTGAAAACTAAATATTTTGAAGTTCAATATACTTTTTAAGTATTATTTTATGTGTTTGATATCGGCATAATCTTCAAATGACGTTTTTGTTAAAGCATGAGATAACGATATCCTTTAGTATCCTGCAGATACAAGACAGAGAGAAAAAACTTTTGCTAGTCTCTCGCTGTCAATACCATACGGACTAAGTCATTTGACCTCGGGGTCATACAAGTTGTTTATATCGTAACAAGATGGCGGCACCATGTGCAGAAAGAAACCAGATGTATCGTTATTCAAATTAAAGAACTGACAAAAAATGTATGTGAAACAAATTCAACACAACGTTCTATACATACGGAATATTTTGAGGAAGAACAAGGCGCCGTTCCATTCAATCGGCGCATTAATGTGTTTATATCAAACTCATGATTTCTTGGATATAATTACTTTTCAGTATTTCCATCAGTAAAATTTTGGTATTAATCTGATGGTGGCTGATGGAGTATGGGATGAATTGTCAGTGTAAAGAGGGGATGCTTGAAAATATTTTGTTATTGTGTGTGGTGATAATGGAAGTTGGGAGGATTGTCACTGTGTGTAGAGATGATGAGTAATACTGCATCGATGTACGCTGCTCGGAATGCTGGGTAAGATTGTGTCAGTGTATAGAATAGGGGATTGAGAAAGATCGTTTCAATTTGTTGAGAAGAGAATCATGGGAAATAAAGTGTATCAGTGTGTGAAGAGAATGGTGGGATATATTGTCTCAGTGTATGTTGCATGGTATGTTGGGGAAAATTCTCAGTGTGTATAGGGGATGCTGGGAAAACAAAACTTCGATATGTGTAGGGGATGCTGGGATGGGCGCTGTTGAGAATTAGGAGAAAGTTTGCAAACTCTATAATGTATTGAAGGAGAGGGTATGTTGACCTTTGTTCAGGGTGCATTACAAGTCAATTTCCATTTTTTATAAGGAATTCTTGGGTAATGGTGTCGGGTAGGAATGCTTTGCTATAACATTTTTTGTTGTAACATATTATCAGGACATGTTTGTATAGAACGGATGGAATGATTTTGATGAATAAGTAAACCTTTATTTGATAGATAAAGTTAACCGAGAGTCACATTATCATGTAAGACATAAGGTATTTTAATGTCTACCGATCAAAGTTCCTGGTACAGCACAGCGATAATGTTAAAACCATTGATTATGACATTAGTTGCTGACTTCACACAAATCTGTTTATTTAGACTGATTGCATGCGATACATGCTTTTGGATAGATGCTTCCGGATTCCATTTAAAGTACTTTTGTAGGATTAGAGGAGGACAAGAGGAGGTAAACCGATAGCCCAAAAGTGGACTGATGATCATTCACGAAAAATGTGAGTAAGAGGAAGAAGGATGTGTTATAAAAGATTAAAATATCAAGGTCATGAAGTTTAGCATTGTTGTACTATTCCGAGAATTCCCGAAACCCGGTATTTGCGTATTTTGATCATGCGTAGTAATATCTTCCTTGTTTCTTTGTCAACAAGTTACGTATCCACTATTAATGCCTGTTCATAATACTTTAGGATTGAATTCATAGACATACCACCAGATGGTTTAAAATATTTACTTTTTATTTTTTTACAGTTACGATACTATGAAACTGTTCCGAAAGTATTGAAGCAACTTTTTCATGTACAAAATCAAATATACACGAACGGATCTCGATTGAAGCACTTTTAAGTATCCTAAGTGTTTGTTGTGAACGATATATTATTCAACTTATCACGTGGCCATTCAAACGCTGTTTAGATTGTTAAGCCCTTGACCATTGGTCAAGAGAGCAGGAGATTTCGTCGTCATTACAGACGTTGGTCTTTGACCACTGACCAGGCCTTCCGTATTTACAGTGAACTTGACATTCCTTCCCACAAACTATGATGGTATTTATGGTGGCTTTCAATCTTACTCTTATTCAAGCTTGAATGTGTTCGAATTGTTATATCATATAATCAACCAATCAAAAGTTGTTTTTAAATAAAGAAGAACAATTTGATATAAGTGGTTAGTGTCATGATATGCATATATGTAAAAAAAAATCGTCGTCTTTCTACGAAGGTTAATCAATTTCCTCGTGTGCGGACATGTTCGTTCACAGATAAGGAAGTACAAAAAATACAAGTATGACTCTTGACATGTGCTCATTACAAATATCCTAATCATATCCGTGTGCGCTATCCACTTTAATTCTAAAGCTGGTATTTTACAGAAACAGATGGTTTCACGCATGGAAACAGGAACTAAACTTGATTTACAAGTATGGGAAGGAAATATTTTACTTAAGATAATTAACTCGTCATCACAAGCCGTTTATGAATATGAAAAGCCAAATGAATTTGTGTCACTGCATGTTTAAAACGGCATTAAGTATATATCTTAAGAAATCTCTCGTAATTGCCTACCTATATCCCTTCAGACAGGTGAAATAAGTGGAAACGAGCGGAAAGGAATTCACCCCCTAGGGATACAATTTTTGAAATATCTACCGCTCTGCTCTGCGAACGATTCATCTTTCCATCAAGGTGTTAATTCGTTCATTGACTTAATCGATTTGTACCAAGTTGAATGTTTACTTACCTTTAGGCAAATGAAGCGTCTGAACCAACCTACAGTATGTAAACACTATTTTTTATTGCCCTTTAGGTGAATAAAGCGTCTTGATCAGTTTTCAATGCAATTTTTCATAAATATATTTCTATGAAAACAAAATTAGACAGGAGATCGTAGACTGATACATTTGCAATGCTTCACGGGTGTACTGAATCAATCGTTACAACCAACTAATGGTAAGAAAGTATCAGGTCAACCAATCAATAGCTCGAATTCCACCAGCGCCAAACCTACAGATCGAACCAAGCCACCCTAACCCACACATCACCGCAATGTCGACAGCACAAATCACTCGACTGTCATTGAGTGTATATTTCGGAACATGGTTGCGGTATTAGGGGTCGTTTCCCAGTAGATAAGTGTATTCAGAATGTATTTACGGGTAGGTCTCTTCTATATAGACATTTAACGTTAGATAAGGACACGGGAGAAAATGTATGTCAGTCGTATAGGGCATTCGGTTCGGACAAAATATTGACCAGTTTCAGGACATATGTTAGTGTCTGGCACACGAGAAAAGCACGAGGCGAATGTCACGGTCAAACATCATTGGACGATTCTCATAATCAAGGCCTATGAGTGAAGCTAAGTTCACCAAACAATAGCCAGTTACAAGTTTTAATTAATTCAATATATAGAAATCAAAAAGGTTCTTATTTTAAGCATAGAGGCCTAGTTACACAAGACGCAAAAAAACAGCAACTTGATGCAAAGTTCGGACACATCGATCTATTTATACGGTGTATAAGTAATAAGCCATGTTGATACTTTGCCTTATGTGACACATATTTGTGTTACTGGGTGCAATATATTGATATGAGCAGAATGAGAAGAAGCGCCAATAGCCGGTCATCATTCGCATCCAAAGATATGTATTCTATACATAGTTCTAAAAATGGTAAGAGACCATTTATATATAAATCTACACTAAGTTCCAATAAAGGCAAACAATAGGATTGTCCGGAGAGAACCTGCTAATATCATTATCCCATTTGTCACGCTTGTTGCGCTGCACATGCCGTCAACGCATGTCAGTGGCGCGCACGTGCCGTAACGACTGCGTAATCGATTTGTCCCCCCTCCCCTTTTCACGTCGATAGATATTTTAAGGCGATTTTCTATACCGTTATCATGAACAGATATTTCATTTAATCGCAAAAACGAAATAATTAGTCGATAATTAATTTCCTTTTTATCAAGAGTAAGACACACCTCCTATCGTGGTCTTTGAACTTTCAACCAAGAGATCACTGATCGGTCGGCGATAAACCGGATGTTGACATTAGTACTAATTTTATGCCGAAAGCGCATGCGTGTAATGATTTCCATGAATGGATACTTGCTGTTATTCGATTTCAACACAGTAAGGAGTGACGTTCAAAATGTTTTAGACGGGATTTAGAGATCCGAGTCATCCCGTGGTGAAAATATGTGTTCTGATGCAAAGCATACCATATGGCATATACTGAAATTAAAAACTCATAAGATTATCTCCAAACGCCATCTTTAGTGTTGTAAGCTCCAACCAGTTGATGGATGGGGTTACACTTGCTGTACTGATAGGTTTGGTAAACTTCATTTCAAGCCGGTCTTCGTAACTTCATATTATTATTTTCGAGGAGAAAAAAACAAAGACAAAAACAAACAAACAGCTGAATGAAATACAAATTACGGTTTCTAAATATTTTTTGTGGTTGCCCTGTTTTTGTTATTTCCAAGGTGATAACGATTTTAATCCACATTGACGAAGATAACTATGCCAGGTTCTGGTCACACCTGGATGTCGCGGTAAGTAAGATATGCGAAGAAAACCACATCAAATAGCTTCGATCTGAATACCCTCTTTCCTGCCGGTTTATGAATGAGCCTAAACCAAAATGAAATGTTGATAATTTAGTACATATACTGTAAAACTGGGATGGGTTTGAAATATTTCACTCAAATACAAAGGAAAACCATAGGGTATACTGAGATAAAAGCATTTATCACAATTGCGAATGTATACCGGCGATGTATCTCACTAAATCCCATATATTCGGTAAGCTTGATTATGAAGCTACCTACCAAAAATGGGGAATGTTGAAGTCTCGACAAAAATGGCACTTTTAGAACAGAACTTCTCTTCTTTATAGAATTCATTGTAGTGTCAATAACTCAACAGGTAGATGACACTTTGTGAATAATTTTGAATATGGTAATAACAAAGGTCACTGACTTATATGTGGTATATGATTCATAAGTTTGGGAACTCGTGTGTAAAACAGAAACACAAAATCTTTAACCCGGGGTTTGTTAAATTATATATGATTTTACTTGCATATTTGCCGTTAGAATATGAAGATTCATAAGACGTTCTTGATACTTTTTTTTTTTAAATCAACTTGTTTAGATACTTTTGAGACAACAATGGTTTTCCTTTCTCATCTTCTCTTCAGTTTTTTTTTCTTTTGGCTGGTTTTCCTGAAATACAAATTGCAATTAATAGACATACATGTGAGTTAAGAATCAAGTTAAACTTATAACTGATTAGGTCGGTAAACACTTCATGTATAGAGATGGGGTGTCTGGTCGTTCTACAGGAGTATGACCGAGCATGAGCCCTATCAGACATTGACTCGTTCCGATCTTAATCAAATATTTGTTTCTGATTCGGTATAGAAGCCACATGTAGATAGTTCAAGCATATCTCACAATTAGGATCCCTATTATATATGTTTAAGTTCTACCTTTAAACAATTCCGCGAAATCGAATACAAGAATACCGGGAAACAGGACAAGGGTCATTTCTCACAAGTGGCCGCGCAAGGACGCAACTGACTGAGCTACGAACGGGAAACAGCCTCAAGCGAGTCAACAACCAGCTAGAACGGTTCACCAACAAAACATGACATATTTATTACATAATGTACTGCTCAAACAATGTATACCTGCACCATGGTGCCTTTCTTTTTACTCCAACAGACTTTCGGAACATATCTCGGTTCTTACATTTCCATCTAAAGTTAAGAATAGTGTTTGTTCCGATGGCTTTCTGTGATTTTCAGAAGAGGTACTGGACATCGTTGCTAATGGATGTCAGTTTGGTTCTAAATCCGACCTATTGCACACCTGTCGTGATGTGAATTGTTTCCCCGTACATTTCCACAATCCCCTTCTCCTATCCAAGTCACATTCCTTAGCGTTTCCGCTTTTGACCTGAATACTTTGAGACTCCCAATGATAAAAGTATGCCCGGTTCCCCATGTCTTTCTGATCTCTTCTTAATCGGTCGTAATCGGGTCCAGCCGAGATCGCGTGCCTTTGTCTTTTGTGGGGTCAGTGAACGAGGTTTTATTCCCTACCAGACTGTGTGATAAGTGATAACATACATATCAAATTACAGCCATCTTAAGTCATCATGTGTATTCTCTCAAGACATATATAGCATCATACATATGTCACTGCTTTGATTAAATATGGCTTCAGAGATTTTTTATTAAACGGCTGAAAGTAAACACTTCAAGTGTTCAACTATTTCTTTTTAAACGACAATTTTCATTGGTTGTTACAAAAGCGGAAGAAGGACGGATAACTAAACAATCGAAAACAAAACACGGTAGGAGAAATGCGGAAATACTTCAACGTAACCACTTGATATTATCTGCGTAATTTAACATGTACTAGCTTACATAACACAGAACCCTACATGAGCCTAGAAAGAATTTTATTACATGTATATACCGTATATATGTCCATAAAATGTTATGATCTAAACAACGTAACTTTAATTGACGTCACTTTACTCGAGATACACGTCATAGTATTCCTGTAGTATAAATGAGTAATAGAGGATGTGGTCACTGATTGTTCTTGTCATTAATTTTGTTCGTTTGTTAAGCTTGGTCATCTTTAACGCGTTGATCAAACAGTTCATAGAATAGGTTCTCTTACAGAATAAAACGTTAATCTACAAAGTGTCTACATGTCTGATTTCGAAATATTGAAATTCTGATATAAAATAAACTATTCTAAAAACATCCCAAATAAGAAGGAGTCAGTG